TGTGTGTGTGTGTGTGTGTGTGTGTGTGTGTGTGTGTGTGTGTGTGTGTGTGTGTGTGTGTGTGTGTGTGTGTGTGTGTGTGTGTGTGTGTGTTCATTGATAACTCACACTGAGTCATGAGAGGCTGACTGTGCTAAAGCTGAGGAAATCCACAACCTGCTTTATTTGCTCTTATAAATGCAGTTAAGCTGAGGGAAGTTGTAATATGCTTGAATGCTTCCGCATAATTCACACACTTGCCTTTTAATGTGAAAATAACTTTGAAGTGTTGGCGTTGAAAGAAATCAAATATTATTTTTCTGTTCTCTTTTGCTGCAGATCTCAACTGTAAGCGGGCAAACCTTGGGATGAATCCCGAGTGAGTACACCCACATCCACACACAAATACGCACACACACACGTTCAGGACCGCAGTGCACGCAAATGTAATTGGCTGAAAAAGAAGAAACGCTTTGTGAGATGTTTGTGCTCGGGTTTAATGCGAGAGAGAGCAGCAGACGTCACGAGAAACAGTGAAAAAGTAGAAGCATGTAATATTTATGGATCCGGAGTTGTGCGGGTGCCTTGGGTAAACGAAGTCGATTGACGCGCGCGTTAAACCAGCCGCATGTGATTTCCAGCTTCAGTCATTTTGGCAGCACGATGCGAGAGGGAGACAGACACGGAGCTGTGAAACTGGACCCTCTGCCAGAGATGTCGACGGAGAGGAATCCCTGAAACCGCCGCTGCCCAGGAAATATGCACAAATGTTGTTTTCTGGAGGCTGTTTTTCTCTCGGTTTTTTTGCACATCGCTACAGAGTATAGTGGACCAGGATGCCGTGTGGGCGATGCTGCCACAAGGGATACATTGTGATTTCTCGGAGATGTTTTAGCATCCGCTGCATAAATTAAAATAAGAAAAGCTTGACACATGAGGGACTGGAGCTCCAAGGGATCTAATAAGACATTACCACCTGTTACTAGAAAATCAGGTAAGCCTCTCAGACCTTTTTCTGGCTTTTTACATATTGCACTGCCTCATGATGTAGTGCGCGACGAACGTAGGTAGGTAATTATTATGCCAAACATTCATCTCTTTACATTGTACTTTTTTGAGATGTAATCTGGTGTAATGCTGCGCACCAAGATTTATGTACCAATCACCATATGATCCGATGCATTAGAAAGCATCCCATCCTCTATTAGGCACATTTTAGGTGATGGGCTAAACTGAGCTGACTACTTCACTCCTAATGGGCCTCTTGATGAAACACCTTTTCATTATTGTGTGATTTGAAGGGAGTATGTGGGCTTGCAGAAAACCTTCACATTGCCTCAGTGCAGGTACCCGCAGTTCCTCCAGCCAGTGCAGTGGCAGCAGTCCTCTTCTCATCCATAGTGCTGTTTAGCAGCATTAAGTACTCTCCCATGCACTGGATTCCAGTAATAAGCTAATTTATTTTCTTTTTTAGAAAATAGGCTATCATTTTATATTTTAAACGTCAATAAACTATTCACAAATTGCTCATCTTCTCCTTGGAAAAAGCTTCAAGGCCATGTCCATCTGTGATAAACCTGAGAGGTATTCCTGCACAGCCTGCTGCTGCTGCTCAGTGTGCTTTATTAGCCTCGCAGAAAGCTCCTGAATCCTTCTGTTTATCCTCATTATGGGCTGCAAGGTGACATACAATCAGTGTGGTTTGTATCCAAGAAGCCAGCTGAGATGGAGAAATCTGACTTCACGTCAATGATTTCTGTGCTCGTACAAGCATATTGAGCTGAGCTTAGCCGGTCCATTGGTGGCCATAGGTCAGGAGCAATCTGTCTGATGTTGGAGGTCTCACTTCCTACCAGAGAAAAAGACTTTGACATGTCATTGACAATTTTATGCCCTAGCACACGCATCCCATCCCCCCTCCTTCTGCTTGTGTCCTAAATCAAAAAGCAGTTTGGCCAAGTGACAGAGGTACACTGGCAGAAAAATCAGGCCTGAGTGAAATGGTGTCAGTCATGTCCGGTCAATATGTCAAGCGGTGGGTACAGAGTGCCAGGGATAACTTGTTTGAATCCTCCATACAGTGTCGGGGTCTAGATCTGCTGATAATTGGGGGGAAAAAAACTGATTGTCACAAAGTTTTCCCCAGCTGGAGCATGAACTTAAACTGGCATCGATCATGATCTGGAAACAATGTCTACACTGCACAACGAAGAGTTCCTCCACACTTTATCTTCCCTACTTAAGTAATCAATAATCTGCTGATCCTCCTGCAACTGAATCCCATCGGCCTGTTTAAGAATCCGGATTAGTTAAACGTCTTGAAACATACAAGTGGGAAAGCTTTTCCTAAGGCGATACTGTAAGCACTGGATGTACACATGACATCAATTATGTATGTTAACACATTTGAAATGCTGTTACACTCCCCTAGCATCACCCAGCAGCTTGATATGTAACAGAGTGGTAATGAATACTCAAGGGTGACACTTCCAGTATTTAGAGTGAAGCACAAATTCATTTTACTATTGTCATGTGGCTTTATTCACTGACCTATTTTGATCACAAAAAAAGAGTGCTGTGCACAGAATGATGCGCAAAAAACTTGACAGGAGCTGTCAGGAAAAAAGGAGGAGAAGTAGCAATGAGATTAGGGGAAAGCATAAGACAGAAACTAAAACAGGATGCTGAATATTTTAAAGAATTTAACGAAAGCAGTCTGGAAAACAGAGCAATCTTCTTTTTTTTTTACATTTTCCTGCAGCGATTGTTCTATCTAAAGGGCAGCTGGGAGAGGCAGTATGTCACTGTAAGGCTGGACATCTTCATTACGATCTCGCTCCAGAGCCCCGTGGCAGAAGGGAAAATGCATCACACCTGATGTTGCTGTGGGGCTTTTATAGCAACTGTTTGGTCAACCATCCATACAAAGTGCTCCAGATGCTGAATCCACACAGGAGTAGCCATTTGCTTCTTTTTTTTTATTGCGATGTGATGTACGAGTAGAACAAATAAACCGAAACTTCAGATTTATCTTTTTAGATAGTGCAGGAAAGAAATATCAGGGGTGTGTGCCACAAAGTCACTGACTGTCATGCAACTAGAAAACCATTAGTCTGCCTTAGCAGAGACTGATGGCTAATGAAGCGAATGCACACCAAAGTCTCGTGGGGCGGGGAAGACAGAAGAGACAACTCTCATTTATATGCGCCTCATATACCAGCCCATCTGATTTAGAGGTTCAGGACCAACACAGACCAACGCTCTGAGAGCTACACACAAGTGATAACTGCCCCTAAGCAAAGCAATAAGGGATGAGATTACACACAATAATTTATGATACTGTACAAGATGTATGTTAGGCAGATTACTAGTCTGCCTAACATACATCTTGATTCACCCCTCAGAGATAACATCTATACATCCAGCACTGCATGTATATTCATTCCTTAATGCTTTGCAACATCTAAATACCCAGGTTTGGACAATTTCAGGTCCCATTTGATTGATGTCGATATTCTGCTTGTTCGTTAAGCACCCCTGCCTCGACGCCACGCTACAGAAGTCACTCAGCCCTGATGGCAGGCGGGCTTCCTCTGTAAATTACATTGTTGTGTTTTCTATGGAAAATTTGCAATTCATTCAACCTGTGAAATGTAAAACAGCCCCGAGCAGCAATTACAATCTTTGCTCCTGATTGCAGAACAAACCGTATGGCCGCCATAGATTCAGTTCACTAAAGCAGTTGCAAATACAAAAACAATTAGTAGACAAACAAAATGTAAATGCTATCATGTATGTTGTTATACTTTCAGATTCCATCTATTTGCTGCTTTTTTTCATTTTATATCACAATAGATTGAATGCATTTGTGTTTTTAAAAGCAGTACCAATATAGAAATGCATTTTCAACAAGTCACTTTAGACTTCAGGAAATTGTGGCATCTTTTTCCTCATATTTTATGGAATAAATTATTCAACCATTGCTAACAAAGTAATCAACTGAATAATCGATAATGTCATTAGTTGTAGCCCTACATATATGTGGTCAGGTTTAGTAGATATTTTCGTGGTTATGTCATACCTTGCAGTTAGAAATGATCATAATTTAATCATGCAGAGTTTCTAGGAAATAATGTCAACACACCATCTTCATTAATTTCTAACTGCCTCTTTTATCTTCAATTACATTTACTACTACTTAAGGTTCATGATCTACAAATCTTAATTTATACCACAAAGATATTCATTTGTTTCACGCTGTGTGAATTAATAAATAATTTGCCCGAGCAATTTTGAGATAGTTCTATATTTCCCTGCTTTATATTTAGTGGGCAGCTGTGTCCCTTGACTGTGTAGCTTCATTTTAACTTAGCTTAGCCTTCAGCAATATGCTCAGCTTTTTAATCCTTTCATGTACTCTTCACACAGCATGGTGCCATTTCCCAGCCCCAAAGTCTTCTCCTTGTTGGTTTTAAATACCAAAATTACTATATATTTTAACATATAATTATAATTAGCAGTGAATCATGTGATTCAATGTAGAATAAAGGGTGCATGTTGAGCCTGATTAAGACCCACATTAAGGCTGCAGCCACACGGAGACGATACGGGTCGTATCCGCTACAGTTCTCTATCATAGACGGTTCGGCCACACGAGGCGGAAACGCAGATAACGATAACGGGTCCGAAGGTGGGTATAGATCTGCAGACGCAACGCTCTGGGGGGCCAAACGGCTCCGTGATTACGCCCTATATGATCATTTCCTGATAACGAAAAAATACTGACGGGGAGGAAAAGAGAGACCCTGTATATTATTCTTTTATTATTATATAGAGTCGTTATTCATTTGTTTTGAAGCTCAATAAATAACAAAGAAGACCTTTGACCGGCACTTTTATAATTTTGTCCGGAAGATTTCAACTTTAACGGAAATGTTGACCGGCGAAAAAACGGAAACTGCACGGTCCCCTCGTCCCTTGGAAGAGGCGGAGAGGTAGGTGTTTTTCATCTGCTGGTGGACTACCGGGGAGATTTACAGCAGGAGCACACGCTTGCCTCGGGGAGGGAGAACAAGAGCCAGAGCCCTGGCCCCTGCCTCTCCCCACCTCTGCTGCTAATTCCACCATGGAGAATAAACAGAAGGGCAACCATGGCAACCATGCATGCTCGTAAAGTCTTCTTCGCTGCTTTTGGTGTATTTTCTGGCGGAAGTACAGCGCCACTTACAGGCCCCGCATATGTACTACAGCCTATCCAGCGGGTCGAGCGGTCTCGTGTGGACGAACACGTTTCTGGTGCCGGTTGCGTGTGGATGGAAGACTTTTTTGATATCGAATACGGTTCGTTTTCGTTACCGTCTCCGTGTGGCTAGGGTCTAAAAGTAACATGATTAACTTGCTAGTCCATTTATCCACAGGCGCTGCACCATTATATCGTATGTTAAAGAATAAATACGATTATAATCCAATTAGGATTCAAGTTATTATCAAATATGCTGCAGGACTAGTTTCTTCTAGCTGTAGTTAAATATCTATTTTTGCTTCATGATATCAAGTGATTTAAAGTTGTGTGGCATGATTCACTTTGATTTAAGTTGGCAATCCCCTGATATCTGGTGGCTCCCTGTTGCCAAAAACATACGTCATAGTCATGAAGGTCGAGATCTCAGTCTATAAATGTGTCTGTCATTCATTTACTCCACTTCCTATCATTCTTGAGCATCTGGCCTGGAGAGCTCCTCAGTTTAGGGACCCTTTTCTATCATTGAGCAAACTGACAACCCTTGACTAAGTGATATATTTTATGGATATGTCATATTTTATTCCATGCATAACATTAACAGTACAGATTAACTGATATATTGTATAATTAACTCAGCAAACCAAATAAAGGATTCTGAGGAAAGCGATAATTGGATAATTTAGAGCAGATTATTTCCTGTGAATAATGCATCAGGGATGAAGTTTCATCTTACTTTATGAACTTTTAATGCAATTCTCTCTTTGTATTTTTAATAATCATACTGAATAGGCCTAGTACTTGAGTGTATTCTTCTTCCTGACGCTTAACCATTGTTGAATTAGTTCTATAGTTGTTTTAACTGCTTACTTCTCTAATGACAGAAGAGACTGTTTAACAGAGAGGAAAGGCTTGGGAATATAGAAGTTATGTTCAGATGTTAACTGTGCACTTATGAGTTTTAAAAAGTTTATAATCTTATATAGTAATCTTAACTATAAATAAAACCAATTTCCTCAGTTTTCTTCACAGAAAAGTTGTCTTAAACCCCTCTAAGTCGTGAAGCATCGCGACCATCTGTGAAGCTTTGGCAACTCCTCATCTAGCTTTTGCTGGTGCTCAGTTCTTGACTTACTCATTGACTTGAAGAATTGAAAACATTAAGAGATACTACTTTCTGTCTTGCATTAATGATCCATCTTGAACTCAAGCTGATAGAAACGAGGAAGAAGAAGCATCTCTAGCGGCATGCTAAACGGCCCCTGTTGAATACATAATGTGCTCTGTACATACAAAACTGTTCAAACAGCTGCCTCTTTCCACAAGGTGAGCACAGCAGGAGTGGACTGACAAAATGAGTTTATTCATTTTTCAGGTGAATAGGAACCTGCAAACCAAACTCCTTTTTAATACGTCTTCTTCAAATTAAAACCATGGACAGCAACCAAAATGTAATCGACAAGAATTTTGATAATCAAAGGGGAAAAAAGCACTTAGTCTGTCCAGTTACTTAAATCAGAGGATTTCATGCTTTTCAATGTATCTTAACATTTCTTTGGTTCAAGACTGTTTGTCTTTACATAAGAGGATATTTTAAGATGCCTCACTGGGCTCTTTTGATGTACATTTGTATCCCTCACATCTTATGCCGAATGATGAGATTAGAAAATAAAAGACGGATTAATAAATAATGAACATTATTATTGTCATTTGAGCGTTTGTAATTGCCAAAATCACTTGTTTCAGCTTCTTAAATGAAATATTTCCTGCTTTTCTTCCATGTCAGTTACTTGTGTATTTTTGAAGTATTGGTCAGATGAAAAAAGCAATCTGTCCATGTCACCTCGGGCATTGGGAATATAGTATCAACATTTTTCACCATTTTCCGACATGTTGTAGATCAAACCCTCGACCGATTATAGGAAATCATTCTCACATTAATCAGTGATGAAAGCAGTTGTTTGCTGCACCGAGTGTTGAATAGAGAAAACATTTTTTTTGCCACTCATTTATCTGTGAATAGTCCATATGTATCCCCCTGAGACAACAGATCAGTGCACCTGCACTTTAATTAAAAAAAATCTATTTAAATCCATTTACAACAATGCACCTACTGTACCTAAAGCAAACACAGAACTTAAGCTCCCAAGTTTGAAACACAAAGAAGACCAACATGTAAAGCAACATTCAAGCAACACTCGGAGGGGATCATATACAAGAAACGGTCCCTGGCTGGATTTGAACCCCTAAATGAATATAACTATGGATATTTAAAAAGAAGCAAGAAACATTAAAAACTATTATATAATATTGTCACAGCAAATTAACAAACCAACTGAATACTTTAACCTTTAAAACATATGCAAAACAATTAAGCACTATCAGATTCAGATGAAATGCAATTGTTTATTTTTTATCTATTTAAATAGTAGATAAGTCTTCAAAGCTGAAAATATACAAGAAAATAAGCCCAAACATCTTCAAAAAAGTACCCAGAAGTTTGCCTCCAGAAGAGTATTTGTTGGAAGGTAAAAAATTGCCATAATGGATAAAACAACTTAAATGTTGGATTTTCCTCTCAAGATAGCAACATAAATAAAAAGACAAGTAATCATAATTAGTATTCTTTACCTTTGTTTTTTACAGAGAGGTTTAAAAGATACAGACCACACACAAGAACGTGTGCACAGACATCTGACTACACTGGTTTTCTAACATAAACTGAACAGGTCCTGTGAAACTGTCAGTTTAACGCTATTGGCTATGAGCAGGACTCTTTTCGGGGAGACCATAACATTTAAGTAACCTAATATCTGCCATCATCCATCGCAAAATTAAAACGCTGCACTCCCTGGCACCATATGTTCCAGGTCGTAGAACAAGTGAACAGTACAGTAAGTGAAACCCATCTCAATTTTCCGTGTAGTAAAACTACATTTGCAGGAGCACTCTGCAGGCAGCTGCTGCACCTGCGCCCAGACAATCATCCATCATCCTGAACGGGCACGCAGCTGTCCTCCGGTCTAAGAGATGGAGATGTCACATTACAATCCCCACATCATCCAGGCAATCTGATCCTCTCTCTCTCTGTTTCCTGCCATTGTGTCAAACACAAGAGCTTTATTTGAAAAACATTGCTCTGCAAATTGTCAGGATTGGAAGTATCTGATGGCGTGGTTGTGGAAGGAGTTGCGCTGACTCGACTTAAAAAGCACAAAAGGTTCGGCCAATTTAATCTGGATTCTCAAACAATAAAAAATAAGAAAGGGAAGTAGCGGCGCCTGGCAGGATGTTCAGGAGGGCACCTGCTAAGACAAAGTGTTCATATCACAGCGGCAGACACATTTTTCAGCTGACCACGTGAAGGCATTCATTTTTAAAAGCAGCTCCACAAATGATGTCAGGATTTCTCTTACATCCATTACAGAGCTGACTCATCTCCGGTACGACAGCTCGATGTGGAGAGTGTGGCGGCAGGCGGAGAAAACTGTGATCCTGTTTTTCATATTGGATTTTCTTAAGTCAATAAAACTTCAAACATAAATCCCTGGAAAAAAAGAAATAGATAAAAAACACATGGAAACAGACCACATTTTGAATGCATATCAATAATAGCCTTCTCAGTAGTATCACTCATTCTTTTTCATATACATGATCATATAAATAATACACAACCTAATAGGAATGTCAGTAAATGATCTAGAAGCCATCTATCTTAGTATGGATCATTACATGCAGAACTCTTAGCGAATCAGTTGATTGATTGGTCAGTGGTTTAATCTATACAATGTCAGATAATTGTTAAAGAAATACCCATCATATTTATTCACAGCTCAAGGTGACGTCTTCAGCTTGCTTCTTTTGTCTGAACTACAGTTCTGACCCTAATTATAGCAAATCAGATAAGACACAATAAAGCCAATTATAATAGGAAGCTGGACTGATTTATGGCATTTTTCTCCGTAAAACGTCAATTATCATAAACATTATCTATCTGTTGATTTAGGAACCGATAAATTGGCTCATTGTTAGACTTCTTGTGCTTTTGCCGTTGATGGAAACGTCAACAAAATGTTACTGTAATCAGTAGTCAATGATTATTGCATGAAATAATGCTTGAATTGGATATACTTTTATACGTTTTTTACTCCTAAGGCACAATGATCATAGTGGCTCAACAAGAAGCTGGCTTTGAGCCAACAATGCTCGCTAATGAAGACAACTTCTCAAGGGGGTGCTTTTCAATGTAATAAACACTTTAAAAGAGTCATTTTTACTCAGCATACAGAAATAGAAGAATATGACTTAATTGCATTTGGCATTCAAGCAAACAATCCCACAGGTTTGTACGTGTGAGGTGTTGGAGAGGATGCTTCAACATAGCTGAAGAATGGGATTCAATGTTTCCAGATTAGCTGTTTATTTGGGAATAAAGCTGTGATTCTGATTCAACTTGCAGTGGTATTATTGACAACGCTGACATCTTTGTTGCTGATAACTGTAGATTGCTTCAGTCATAAGCATTCAAACAACAACAATCAGCTCCCATGTTGAGCTTGATTTGAAGACATTTGTTGGTTTTGTGTGTCGAACAGTATCTCCTCTCTTGCAAATGGGTTGAACATCAGAATGAAACCTAAAAACGGCATCCTCCTCCTGTTGCTGCAGCTCGGACACCCATCAGGGATTGCCAGGAGTGAAACCTCACTACGCCATCGCCTCATTCTGCTCTTCAGCTCGTCCACTCCCACGGCAAGCCAGCAGCGTTGTCAGCTGATCTCCAACCAGCCGGGTCTGACAGCCATGATTCGGGAAGACCCTCTGCTTCGGCTCAGATCAGAGATCAGCTCGACGCTTGATGGCTAGATCTCTCCGTACAACGCGCTGGGGGCCTTTCTGCTGAGGTACGTCTCGACTCCCTCTGCAGCACAGGTTCTATAATTCAAGTGGAGCCATTTTTGCGCTGCTTTTGTTGATGTTGAGTGAAGTGTCAGTCATGTCTGATTAAAACTGAGTGGAACCGGTTTATGTAAATGAGGCTCTCGCATAACATTTCCTCTATTCTGTATACATGTGTGCCTGTCTAGGCATAGAGCAAGCCGGTAGTTTAAAAAGAATGCGCCATTTATTGGTAGTGGCAGGGTTTTCTTCTAAAGCAATGAGACTCAGATTTACTGTGTTATTGTCTCCTACTGTGGTCCAGATTTATGATCTCTACGACAAGGCATCAGATATGGCACACAGTTCATTTCAGGAGGCGCTGGATTGGATATTAAATCATTTAATAGGATACCTGGGATCTCACCTTTTCTAATAAATTATTCATTAAAGTTTAATGGTCCCCGGTTTCCCCCCTGGGATTGCTATACAATTAAGTTCAATTTGAAAAGGCATATATCTGCAAATTCTGTATAAGAAACGCAGATGATGAAAATAAGCATCCTGCTAATAAATAATGCCACATGAAATCGGCTGTACCTTTTTTGCTGCAGCGAGTCTTTGGCCGTGTCACAGTCTAACTCACTCTTATTTTTCTCCATTGCAGTATCCCTCACTGCGTAGTAGCACATGGATTTCAAGACTTCAAATGAAGAGGTTGGTGGCATTCAATCAATGGAACATTTTGACAGTTAATTGACAATGATTATAGAAACAGCTCTGGCATTTTCAAATGCCTGAGACAACATCTCTGAAAGCATGCGGCTAGAGCACCGATGTAACAATTTCTGTATTAAAAGGAGTACTTTTAATACATAAATTGTTACATCTGCACAAATAACCGAATCACATAACAAACGCTTAGATTTTTTTTTAAATCAAAGTAAAACACAGACAAATTGGTCTTCGGAAGAGAAGTTCACACTTCATGATGAATATGCAAAGATTAAACATGGTTTAGATAGTCAATTTAATCCAAAGTGTCAGGAAACAACGAATGTGGCAAGAAATAAAAGATTAAATATATACCAGATATCTTGCCGTTAAAGGACAAAGTATATAACAAATATGACAACATACATAAGATGTTGTTGCTGCTGCTCATCAGTTTCAATGAGCTTGTTCTGAAACTCTATTTTGGAACAATTGTGTTCTCATGATGAAAAATGATCTGCCATGTTTGTTTTTTTTTGTATTTCAGGGTAGCTGTATTTCTTTAGTTTGTGATAAGGATGATTGCTTAAGATAAGAAAAACCCTATATAAAGATGTATTCAAGGAAATATCCTAAGCGATGGACTTTTTTTCTAAGGAAAGAAATAGGAAATACACAATCATGTACAAACTAGCAGATCCACAATTAAGATGATAATAGAAAGGATGATTGGAAGGGAGAGTAAAAGATTATCATGCAATAGGATCAGAGATAAAGTTAATTATGTACTAAACAAGCGAGACAAAAGGTTAAACAACGCTGAATCACGTGAGCCCTTTCTGAACCAGCAATATACAGTTATGGCACCGCTGCCCTCATTTTGCTCCCATAATGACTCTCACACACACATTACTGTACTCCAAATAATGTGAATTAATTCACCGCTCATTCCATTTCTCACGCTGCAGCTGCAGGCCGAGGCTCATTTCTTCACGTTGCTCATTACGGTTGAAAGATAATATGCTCCGTGAACGTACTTTAATTCAAGTTTGACCTGCAGAGATACTCCGTCTAAGAATAGCGACCGTGCAAACGTCTTCTCTTGTTAAGTGATGAGCACCGTATCCCGGGTGACAGGGATGCTGACACTGGTGTCTCTTATTTCTATTAGCAGTCTTGTCAGGTGAAGGTGCTTCTTTCATTTAGACCTTTTTAAGTCAAGGACAGGACAGACATTGCAATTAGCCTGGGAGGAGGAGGCATATGCAGAATGCAAATTTATGCGGATTAGCATGATTCAAATGGATCATTGGAAACAGTCACAGTCCTCCTCACACTTGCTTGTGTGAAGAAGGGAAATTCAAATGTGGAGGGTGAGCTCGGTTCCAGCCACTTCATTTCAAAGGTTCTTAATATGCCATCAGCCTTATATGTAGAACAAATGAGGATATCATTTCCTCTGTGTCTGTACACAAAGCACACGACTCATGAAAAGCTGCTTCTCAGAGGGTCTGCTCATTACTTGAAACATAAATCAGAAGTTGTCTTGTGTTTTTTTTCCTTTCTCTAAATGCGTGTTTATTACTCAGTGCTGAATATGGTTATTTGTTCCAGCATTACCATTAAAAAGGAAAACAGTAAAAAAAAAAAACGAAAGAGACAAACATCGTCAAAACCCTGTATCCTGATTTCATGTTGATCCTGCAGCGAGTATTCGGAACAACATTTAATTTCATGGCCAGTTAATTTAGTCGTGGAGGGATGATGAATGATTTGATGTCTCTCACTGTTTTGTTTCCCAGAAAAAGAATGGGATTTATTTGATGCAAGAAGGTAATGAGGAGCCGTTTAATATAAGACTACACTTGGCCAAAGATATTCTGACCATTCAAGAACAAGATGTCATCTGTGTGTCGGGAGAGCCTTTTTATTCAAGTGTAAGTAACATTGTCCTTATTATAATAACTAACTGTACCTTCATATGCTTATATATTGAAATGAGTTACATTTGCTGTACAATACATGAACGTTACCTCACACAGATACTGAGAGACACTCGGAATGACTGCTTTTATGACAAACAATCAGTTAATCTATTCCTCATACATCAATGTAGCTATTAAATAGTGATTAACCTACTGGATCATGGTGTATTATATTCAAGCCACACTTGCCTTCACATGAATACATTCTCTGAGACTATTACCTCTCTGGAGAAAGCACTATTCATTCAGTTACATGTTGCTGGGTAAATCTTCAAAGGTAAATGAAGTGTCCTCTCAAACATTATTACTAATTGACGTAAAGTGCAAAGACATGCTGCGGTATTAAAACCTTAAACATGTTAGTGAAGTAATAGTGTAGACTTTTCAAAACTGAGAACCAATTCACTCCTCTACATTCAAAAGACAGCCTTGAAGTCATGCTGTTTGCACCATACTGTTAGTGTTGAAAGGCAGTTAGGCATCAATTTCCCAAATGTTGAATCAACATTTTTATACTCGAGCCAAAGACAGTTACTACGACTAGAAAATGAAATACCCAAAATACCTGACACAATTAAAAAAAAAAAAAAACTATCTATGAGACTAACTATATATCTGACCCAGATCCGTAGATCCATACGGTTCAGTAGAAGCAAGACCAAAGACAATTGGACAGAAACCAGGCCAAATGTCACATCCAAGCTTAAAAATGGTCTTAATATGTTGGTCTTTTCAGAGTTGTGATGCTAGCACCTCTAAACTTCCTCATTAACACATTATATTATTTCGTCAGCACCCAAACTGAAGCGTGTTAATTAGTGCTTCAGAGGTGCTTGTAGGCAGATTTATTTTCCTTTTTTTTGTCATAGCCAAGCAAGCTGTGTCCTCTTCTCTTTCAGTCTGTATGCTAAGGTACGCTATCCGGCTGATGGCTCCAGTTTCTTATTTAATGCTTAGACAGGACACTGCTATCTTCTAATGTAATTCTCGCCAAGTAGGTGAAAGAAAATAACGCGACCTCGCTTAAATGGTATCCTCCTTTAATAATTAATGTATGTAAATTCTTCTCCTAATCATTATCTTTGCAAACAAAGGTTTGCAGAGTTAAAGAAAACATTTAATCATCAAAGCCTCCTACTTTATGCATAATTATAATTGGGAAAATAAGCATTGTTATTTTTTAAATGAACCTCACAGAAGCAAATAAGGATGCATCACATATTTGTATTGGTTTTCTCTTGCACCATTTTATTTATTTTGATTGAAATTGAGTTCTGATAAAACCAAACGCTCTTGTTTTGTTGTAAGAGCTCCCTCAGGTTGAGCATCCGTCTGTACTGATTTCTGGTCTCTTAACTGAATCTTTTCCAGGAGAGGACTGTAACGATCAGGAGGCAGACAATTGGAGGGTTTGGCCTGAGCATCAAGGTAATTTAGATCCCAACTGATTGGGCTTCTCCTCCTGAATGCTTTAAATTAAGTCTAAACAAGGCTTATTGATCATTTTCTTGCAATAACAACGTTAGCTGAGGGACTTTCTGAAAATTGCTCTGGGTGTCTTTAACTCATTCTGTGTTTGTGATCCCTTTAATCTTATCTCCTTAGGGTGGAGCAGAGCATAAAATCCCTGTTGTGATTTCAAAAATATCAAAAGAACAAAAAGGTACATTGTGTTTTACAGAACGTTTTTCAACCTCGTTCATTTCCTTCCCCTTGTTTGTTCTCACCAAGGTGATTTTTTCTTTCCAGCTGATCTCTCTGGGCTGCTTTTCATCGGTGACGGCATCCTTCAGGTAAAATGTCGAAGCTCTTGTTTACACATCTCACCCTACTCTGCAAAATAACACATACCGTCTCTTTAATAATTCATGTGCCACTCTGCAGAACTGCATGCCTATAGGTAAATGTCACACCTCAAGTCCTTCATTTGTTACATGTATTCCTGCACATAAATAAATAAATCCCACATCTCATCTCCCTCAGCTCATCTGATGCAGAGCGAAAACTCACAAGCCAGCCGTCAACACTCTGTATTAATGGCAACTGTGAATGTGACTCTCTTGTTTACAGTTTTCGGCGCATATGCCGTAACAGTTATTGTGCTCGCCTCATTAATCATTTTGAAGTTAGCGCTGGAGTGATGCAATGCCAGCGGTATTATTTAGGGTAATCCTGTTATTGTTGTTTTCAGATAAATGGGATAAACGTTAGAAGTTATCGCCACGAGGAAGTGGTAAGCTGTCATCTCATATCTCGTATTTTTCTTTCACTGCAACTTATCTTGTCTTACTTTTGTATCTTCTTGACATGTAAAGCCAAGTGTTTTTGTATTAAATGAACCTACAAAAGATGTGTAGATCTGTTATCTTGGCTCTCAATTCTTAGTGAGAAGTTAGCACACCATTTTTCATCACAGCAAGCCTTCACAAAACCTCACAAATGACTGAGCCTGCAATAAATCCCTGCGTTTTTTTCTTTCTTGCAGGTCCAGGTTTTGAGAAATGCTGGGGAAGAAGTGACTCTAACCGTGTCTTTTCTTAAGAAGACTCCTGCCTTTCTCAAACTACCCCTGTGTGAGGATTGCACATGTAAGAAACCTCTACACGCACTCTGTAATTAAAGTATAGGCCTATAATCACCATAACCGGAGTGCAAAATAATTAACCAAGAGTATTTATAGCTGGTATTAATTTCAGTCTAGGATTGGTTGTCCTGGTTACAATAACCTCGAGGATTAACAGCCACATCGAGAAGAAGAAATATTAAATATAGTTGCTTCCCGATTACATAATTGGGAGTTTCAACTAAATAAAGATGCCATTCTGCTAAAGAGAGGGTGGGGAAAAGAGAGAAATGGACACATCTCCAGCTTCATAAAATATTTCTAAGGACTAAACTGAAAGAATTGACGTCGCTCATTGTTGTGCAATTGATTGCTCTTGCATGGGAAAGCTTCAGCCCCGGCCTTTAGACATGAAAGCTTTCATAAAATCCTTTCATATGCGTATATAGGCCGGGTTGACTGGCCGTCCAACCAGTCATCTGAATACAAATTGACACCGAACAGAAGCCCACACCGAAGGAGAAAAAAAGCAACCCACTTTTGTTGTTATCTGTGATTCACTGCAGTTGGAAACCTTGAAATAGATGTATGTGTTACTCTAAATGTCTTTGATTTATGGATTTGTCTTTTCTGTTTGTTTGTGTGTCCCTGCTGTACATTCAGGCATCCCCAGCGACCAGAGTAGTGGGACTTCCTCTCCTCTGTGCGATAGCGGCCTGCACTTAAACTACCATCCTAACAACACGGTACTTTTTTTATTAGCCATCTCTTGACTGACTGTTTCTATTACTGTCCATCTATGCAGAAGTGCCAGAAAGTTGTTTCCGTGTAACTGTCACTGCTCGCCGAGGCTCTATCTTTATCTCTTGAGAGTGATTCAGCTTTCCTCGCTCTGCCTTGTCTGTGCACCTGCAGCAGCAACAACAGCAGCAGGACTCTCGATGTGTTTGAATGTATTGAAAAGCTCTTTTTCAAACTGTTTCACACTTCCTACAGGACACGCTGTCCTGCTCGTCCTGGCCCACGTCCCCCGGACTCCGCTGGGAGAAGAGATGGGTGGACCTGCGCCTCATCCCCCTGCTGCACTCACACCTGTCTCAGTACAACCCGGGCTCTGACGTCTGCAGGTGAGCTGCTGGTTGCATATTGAAGGGTCATTGGTGTCTGTTCTCACTTGCACAGCTGGTGTCTCGCTGTAAGGCTCTGCAGGAATTAGTGCCGAGATCTTTCGTAAAATGCTTAAAGGTTTTTTTTATAAATGGAGCAGCCTGTCATCGGAAAAAATATATTCAGTTCTCCTACTTAGTGTATCCCTTTAGACACAATTAAATAGGCAAAATAGTTCTGCGGTAAGACATATCTACTGAATAATGGAAGCTTAAAGGAAAAGACATTACGTTGACAGTAAAAAAAAAATTAGATACATTTTCATTTTGCCACACTGTGGATGATAGAAACAGTAATCTTGTGGATTGACTCTTAATGGACCACTTGTGGTTTGGCATGTTTTAGCCCATTAACTGAAAAGTGCTAAAGGATACCATGAGCTTTTAGATTGATTAGCATTGTGGTGGGCAATGGGTTCAGTTTCATTTCATGACGGAATGAAGATCAACTTCACTTCTTGTTATTACATCAGAGTTAAACCAGGTCAGACGAAACATTTTGTTTGCCCAATAATTTTTTATGTGGTTGTGTTTTGAAGAATTGCATCTCCACTTTATTACTAGTTTCAAGGCATTGTTTAGCTGTCCACAACATTTACTATTTTGGTTCACTCCCACTGCTCTGATAATGTGGTTTTCTGCAACATCAGGCAGCAAAAGGCAATAGAAAGCTTTCGGCAAACCTTTACACTACCTGCTTAGCACCAAGCCGTGGGCCTTAACAGTTATAGCAATAAGCTTGCAAAGTAAGTGGGGCATTAAGATACAGTACTAAAATGCCCGATATTTCCCTCAGGATTAGTTTCTGACGGCCAGCAGGGGAAGACTCCACTGGTTGCCAAAATAAGTCAGATTGTTTAATAGAGTATGAGAAAATTAGCCTATTTCTTACTTGTTTTATCATCTTGGTAAACATTATCCTGACAATGTTATGGCACCAATTGCTGTATTCAAATCGTCTGAAATACAGCATAATGTTAATTTTGTAAATAACAATCTTATTTAGAAGAATACAGACAATAAGTCAGGGTCATGCTGTGTAGCTTCTATGATTGACTGGTCGCTAAATTAAAGTTGATTGTAATGTTTGGTGTCCTTGTTCAGTGTTCTTTTGTACGGTGCTCCACCCAACCACGTCAAAAAACAGACATGGTGAGGGTAAAAACTCCAAACTCAAGGTTTCAAAGCAGACACCGACCAATGGGTGACGTCCATAAATCCACTTCTTATACATGGTCCATGGCTATTGCATGTTCAAAGGAATAGTTTCAGCATTTTGGAAAAATGCTTCTTTCTTACTGAGATGTTAGATGAGAAGTGTTCTGACTGTGAGTGAATTTTCAAAGAGACTGCTCAAAAATCTTACATGCTGGGATGAAATGGAATGAAAAAATAACTTTGACCACCCGAAAATAAAGCAAAGTTGAGGAAATACATTATGCAAGGTAGCTTCTGGTCTTTGCAAGTTGCTTTTCATCCCCTGCTGACATAAAAATAATCGAATGGCTTCCCTGAACATCGAAAAACAATAAAAAACTGATATATTTGGTATGCTGTTGGTGGTTCATGGGCTGAAAAATACCAAATGACCCCGTAATCATTTTTGTTTTTCTCTTAATTCTCTCAGGAAAAATGCTTTCCAGGTCGTAGCTGTGGATGGAGTTTGCAGTGGAGTTGTTCAGTTCCAAACTGCCGAAGACTGCTTGGACTGGCTTCAGGCAATAGCAAGCAACATTTCCAATCTCACCAAGCACAATGTGAGTATGAAATAATAACACTTGTTAGCTCTGCCGCCTCTCGCTGTCCCCTGTGTAAACCAATAAGGTGTTGGGAGTTAATGCAAAAGCCTTTTCAATTTGTGGATCGTCTTAACAGTCCCCTTTGCAAATGTCACCGCACAACGTAGACCCGTACTAATGTCTTTCCAAACTTCCAGTAAGTACTCACTTATATCCTAGAGCCTTAGGTCACAATAACTGCCAACAAACTCCCTTCAGCCAAACCCATGCTCTTATCATCTATAATTCAACATTATACGTTGAACAATAATGACTGCATGAGGCAGCCAAACAAAAAGAAAGAACAATATTGTATTGTTTCTCGTGTTGTGAGCCTCTTTTAAAGCATCTTTTAAATAAAGTGTGTTTCCAGATGACGCTCAGCAGGGTGACAGATGGTCATGGTGGCTCATAAGAATCTAACTTTGACAAACCAATCAGCATATTTAGGTCTGTTTCCATGTAGCAAAGTTAAATCTCTAGAGGTCTTGTTCAGCCACCATCTACAAATATGTAACCAGACAGTAGTGTTGGCTCTCCACAAGATATGAACACAACATGGAGTCGTGTGTGTGTGTGTGTGTGTGTGTGTGTGTGTGTGTGTGTGTGTGTGTGTGTGTGTGTGTGTGTGTGTGTGTGTGTGTGTGTGTGTGTGTGTGTGTGTGTGTGTGTGTGTGGGTGTGTGTGT